AGGCCCAAAGTTTGGTCAAGTGACTATTTAAGGGCATTCTGAGAAGGGAAGGATGACACAAGGACAAACACATCATCTCCACTTGAGTGTGGCAACAGGATATGATTTAAAAAAGAAAAATTAAATCATCATGATTGTTAGAAGAACTGAATTGCAGCTCATACTTAATTAGCCTATGAATCAGCTAAGTCACCATGCATGTGTGTGACCTCTCAGGAATAAAGAACTCAATTGCTTAAGACTTTATGAGTGATAAGATATCTAATAGAAAATTGGCTTTCCTGCCAAATACTCAAATATTATGAAAGTATGGAAGTACCTTTTCTCAATTATGGTTATTATATTATGTCCTGTGCTTAGAAACTCCAATACTACTGGAAGTTCTCATTTTACACCCTTTCTTTGGGCTTTCTCATTCATTCCTATGACTTGAACTTCTACCCTCTATGAGACTGTAGTCTCATCCAGTGCTCTCCCATGAACCCAACGTCTCTCTCAGGGTGTCTCATTCATATGTCAAATCAATGTGTTCAAAGTTTACTGGGTTGCTTTCCGTCCCAAATCTGGTTCTCCTCATCAGTATCAAGCCAGTTATCCAAGCAAGAAAAAGGGGGAGTGATCCTTTGCTCCTGTTTCTGTACTTCAGTTGGGTTATCTAGTCTTGTAACTCCTAAAAGCTTTATAAATATGTCTCTTCCTTTGTTATTTTTCTGTGATTGCTTTTGTTCTTACCATCATTTGCCTGGACTACTGTAGAATAACTCGATAGACTACCTCCCGATCTTTTACTATCCCAACTCTTCTTCATATTGCTCTTGGTTATAATGTGTATTTCTTTACAACAAAAAGCAAAGGATCCCATGCATCAAAACAAAACAAATCCAATGTGACCATGTCACTCCCATACATAGTACTTTTTAAAGGCTCCCTGTTGCCTATAAGACTAAGTTCAGATTGTTTAGCAAGTCCTATTGTGATTCTCCTCCCCGTTTTGGTCTTGTGTTCTTCCCATATGCCCTGTGATCTAGCCACACCAACTCTCTTGCCATTCCCCAAATACTTCATGTCTTTCATCCTGAGATTTGCAGTGTTTTCCTCTGCTTGGAATGCCCTTCGTAACCTGTCTGCTGAGAATTTCTAATCCTCAATTTCCTCGTCTGTACAACAGGGTGATAATAGTGCTGATTCCAGAGGGTTGTCACAAGGACTAAACAAGAAAGAAGATCTTCTCCCCACAGTGTCTGGGGTACGGCAGCACTCAGCAAATGTGAGCTATCATCCACTGATCTGCGGTCACCGTCATCATTATCAGTATCTTGCCTTTTTTGTTGTTGTTGTTGTTGTCAAATCTGAACAAAAAGATCTTTGTTCAAAGTCTTTCCTGACTTACCTGGAAGTGTTAGGCATTCCTCCTCCCTGATTCTATATGCCTCATTATGGTACCATATTACATCAACTTCAAACTTGATATAATTTTCATATTTTAGCACCTGCTTTTGAGGTACATCTTATCATCTATGACACAACATGGCTTAATTGCCAACAGTTTTTCTTTCTTAGTAGTACTTGTAATAATGATGTTTCTTACAATGAATGGCATATTTAGACGAGATCCTATACTTAACACTGTATAATTGCCATATTATACTGCATATGTATGGTGGAAGGAAAATCCTTCCTTCAGTGAAACACCTACATAAAAAAGGTACTACTGTTTAGAACTCCATAGTAGCCAAGAGATGTTCCATTTGTATATTCTGCAACATGGCAGAGTCCCACCTGTTACGCCACAGGGGAGCAGCTTGATGAAGTAGCACGCTGTCATCCCCTTCAGTTAAGCAACCTCACCCCCAACCTGTGAGCCAAACAATGGTCAGCACCGGAGCAGAAGTGGGGAAGGCTAGCTCTGGAAACTGCATTCCAGTAACCCAGGCTTCAAGCTGAGCGAGAGCATGAAGAGGGGAGTGAAGGAATGAGATGCAAAATGCCAAGGGACCATGTGTCTGGACTAGTAGTGATCAATAGAGGTATATTGTGAATCACATGTATCATTTTAAATTTTCTAGTAGCCATGCTTAAAACCTAAAACAGGTAAATTAATCTTAATAATAATATCTTATTTTAAAACCCAACATATTCAAACTATCATTTTACTGTGTAATCAATATAAAAAATCAGAAATATTTTGTGTTTTTTCACACTACGTCTTCAAAATCCGCTGTGTGATCTCATCCTGGATCAGCCACATTTGAATTGCTCCACAGCTTCATATGGGTAGTGCTTGCCATTTACATTGGACAGTACAATTCTAGATTGACTTTTGACCAACTCAGTTAAGTAGTAAGATGACAGTGACAGGCTATTTCAACAGTGGCTATTTTCACCACACAATATTAGGAATGTTTAAGATTCCAACGATATTACATTTTATTTTTGTTATTTAAAAATTCTGTACAAACGGTAGCTTTCCTTTAAATTCTTTCTGTGCTTTGCTTTAGCTGTTTTTGTTTTAAGCGTGATTGGAGGTTATTTCTAATGTCCTTCCCATCTTCCTTTCACTATGTTGGTTCAAGGAGAACTGACTCCTTTATTCAATTGGAGATCTTTTTCCAGTAAGACAGTCCCTGAGAGAGGAACAAGGAGTGCCTGAGGTACAGCAGGCTCTTGAATAAATACTTTTTTTAAGCTTAAGTAGGCTCCATGCCTAATGTGGGGCTTGAACTCACAACCCTGAGAGTAAGAGTCATGCTCCGCCGACGAAGCCAGTCAGGTGCCCTGAATAAACACCTTTGAAGACACACTGAATGGTGACCTAAGCTGGACCACAGAGGTTCTCAACCTGAACTACACACTGGAATCACCTGGGGAGTAAATCAATAATGCTAATGCCTGGTCCCACCCCCAGAGATGCTGATAGGAGGTCTGGAGTTCGGCCTGGGTATCAAAATGTTTAAAAAATCTCCCCCCAGGTGATTCTACTCTACAGTCAGGGTTGAGAATTACTGCCGTAGGGTTTTCCTAGAACATCTTACTGTGGCCACACCCTTGCCTCGCTGACATATGGTCCAGTTTGCCTCAACTCAATTTCCTCTTTCAGAACAGACCAGAAGTTTCTTGAGAAACCTAACAGAGAAGAAACAAACACATAACCCCAAACAGTGATTTGCAAATTCCTTTTCTAAGGCACTGAAGATTTTCCAGGTTCTAAATCTGTTTGTACTTTCTCTTTTTCCAACAACAACAAAAATTAAGATTTGCAATATAAGTTTTAAGACACTAGCTGGTTCCAAGAGAAAGGAGGTAAGGCCATTACAGCATACAGGCTGGTAATACCTACATATATACAGTGCAGAATTTTCCAGATATAGAATAATAATTAAAAATAAAAACAGAATCTAAGTACATATGAGCTTCATATCAAGTTAATTCTACATATGTCAAAAACAGAAATGATTAATTGGGCATCTGCAAAAGGAAATCCTTCATGCTTTTTCTTCAGGCCATTTAAGTTATATTTACATGGCATAATCCTAAAGCAATGCATCTATTTTGAAAAATCACATATAAAACATACCTAATCTTAGTCACATGACACATAAGGGGTAGGATCACTGCTCTTTAGATGGCACTTTGTCAGATGACATTGCTTCCGTCATATATGAGGTTCAGCAGTGGCCAAGAGAGAACTCCTGACTTCCGCTTCAACACAAACAAGCCCTCATCAAGGAGGAGGGAACAATGATCTCTGCACCACAGGAATAGCTGGAACAGAGTTCCTCTGACTCATGGACTGAGAATTTTCCTGCCAATTCCCAAGGTGGTTTGGCCATACTTTATGGATTCACCCTGCTTAAATGGTCTTTTGTTGATGATGTGGTATCATATGGCCTTATTAATAAATAGAAAGAGCATGTTGATACCTCCCCAAAGGTTCCTACATGTAGTTCCTCTTTCTTTCTAGCAAAGACAAAAGCTCCCTCTAACTACCTCATGCTTTTTTTTATTGATATAATTGACACATAACGTATTAGTTTCAGATGTACAACATGATCATTTATGTATATACTGCAAAATGATCATCACAGTAAGTCTAGTTAACATCCATCACCACACATAGTTACAACATTTTTTTCTTGTGATGAGAACTTTTAAGATCTACTCTCTTCTCAACTTTCAAATATACCGTGTTGTATATTTAACTATAGTCACCATGCTGTACATTACATCTCCATGACTTACTTATTTTATAACAGCAAGTTTGTCCCTCACACTTATTTTTGTTTCACATTGTAAACTGAATTTGAGAAATCAGAATAGGGAATATCCAAAGGCATTAAATGTCTATGTTCACTAACAGAGATCAACCAAAGCTCCCTATCCCTGCCAAAATCATGGAGGAAGGAACATAACCTCATAAGATTTCTAAATAAGTGTGTCAATGCACTAAGTGGTCTCATGCATATCACTTCCATCTACCAACCCCAAAAGGCTAACAAGTGCCAAATGATTGGATGTGTGACATTCACCTGGCCCCAATTTCCCATTCAGAAAAGGAATAAAAAATACTACACAAGTTTCCAAGATGCTACACTGATAAACCAGGGTTAGGATCACCATCCACCTGTTCGGGCTGACCACAAATCTGAAAGGCATGACTATATAAGCTCTGAACCTATGTCGTTTGTCAGGGACCATGTACTGAGGATCCTCTTGGGTTCCATGAAGAGACAGAGAAAAAGTCTTCCCTCAAAAGGTTTATAAGAACAAGAGTAACGTTAAAGGATTTGACATATTAAAAAGGGTTTGAAAGGTGATATGAAAGTGGCAGAACAATTCTATCTGCACTGAGTACGTAATCATGATGGGACGGTAGGCTGGTGGAATCCTTGGAGCTGCCGGTGGTTGGCAGGGATGCAAGGGGTTGTGGGCCTCAGGGAAAGATCCAATGAATGGGGGATGTTGCAGAGTTTTGTGTATGCGCAGCTGACGCCGTTCCCTACCTTTCTGGAAGAACTCTTCTAGTTTGTCCTTGAAAGGCTGGAGATACTCCTTTGGTGACTCCTTGCATACCACGATCATCTGTTTCTCACTTGCTGTGAAGGAAAGTGTGGAATTAGATTTCCTCAAGAACATGTATTTGCTAAGCTTCTGCTCTCTGCTACGCTCTTCAGTATTAATTGTGCAAAATCCTTATCAATCACGGTTTATCTAAATTTCAGGGGGAAAAAAAAACCAGACATGGTTAGCTCACTCCACACCTTTCTTCAGGAACAAAGAAACGTACCACCTTCAACTTTCCTTTTAGAGATGCAGAAAAACCTCTGGCTTGGGACAGGAAAAGAATTATGCTTTTGGTCTCTCAAAAATTAAGGGAGGCAAAAACTACCGAATTCCCAGGGAATTAAAGGCCCTGATCCTCTTCAGATTCATACTCCAGAAAGAGAGCTTGAAACAGATTTTGCAGCAATTCCCAGGCATCCGAGTTGCCTGGAGCCACCCACATGCCAGCAGGAGGGGCAAGCCCAGTTCAGGGAGGTCTGCATCTGTCCTCCCTTCCTGTTGATACTCCCCTAACACATGTGAAATTGTTTTCCATGTGATTTACTTCAGATAGAATTTACAGACAGTTTGATAATTTCTCATATATAATAGGTAACTTATAATAGAGTGCTTTTTTGACAATCATGCCCCCCTCAAATCAGAGAGTTCTGATTTGGTGATATGGAAACCACCCTAACCCACGGTTCACCATCCCAGTGGGAATGGCTGGAAGTGCCATTTACCGAGATGGGAAGAGTGGAAAGTGTAATCTTTTTGTTGTTCTAAGGGAGAGAAGATCAAGGGTGAACTCTGAGGCTTGTTAAGTTTTCTTTGGTCCGTGTGAATCACAAGGCAAAATCGTTCAGTAAAAACGAAGTAGAGGAGACACAAGACAAGATAAAACCATGAATGGGTGCTCTTTGCTAATTAAATGCAAACTCCAGCTCATTTCCATCATGGTACCATTTCTATCTTCCAGCTCTATTTCCCACCTAGATTTGACCAACCAAACCAAAATTCTGCAGTGTTTCTAAATGACATCAGCCATCATTCCCACTTCCACGTCTGTGTTTGTGTGGTTCTCTGCCCAATCTATTCACGTCTCACACATACTTACCACTGCATTTGACAGAGTCCCACTCATCCTAAAAAGTCAGACATGCTACACTACCATAAAGCTCCTTCCAATCCAAAGTTTTTGCAGCCTTCAAATTTCTCTAGTACCTTCTGTATGACATTTATGCTTTACCTTTAATCATATTTGTGTACTCATATTAATCCCCGTGAAGCCATCATGCAGGTTTTATTAACTTGTCCCCAAACTTCTCTAGACTAGAGTTCCATGCATATCTGGCCAAAATCTGGCCAAAAGTATGATTTCCTCATCTTAACTACATTCTTATGTGAAGGAAGGTTAAAAAAAAAAAATTAGCAATGTTGACCCAGACTCAGAGTGGGCTTTCCAGGAGTGCAGTGTGACTTCCTCCTCTTTTCCCTCCTTCCTGCCTTTCTAGGACAGGTACACCAAGGGTCCCAGTCTCCACTCTGAAACACTGTGATTGTCCCAAGCTGATTTTAAAGGGCTCAGTGTCTTCTAAAGACCTCCCAAAACATCTACTACTTAATGGCGCAAGGCACAGGCAAAGTAGCCAAGATGATCCTCCAGACTGGGTCGTTCTGAGGGTAGGCCTAGAAGTAGGAGACTGGTCTGAAAAACTTTGGAAGATGTCTGCTTTCAAAAATTGGCATTTTTTCCAGGAACTTTCATGGCCACATGAACTTTCCTGATGATATCCAGCTATGATTCTGAGAACACAGGTAGCCATGTTTGAAAGAAAGCTGGAATTTCTTACAATATAAATTGGGAGAATCTTTTAAATCCTTTAACTAGGGGTGCTTGGGTGGCCCAGTCATTAAGCATCTGCCTTCGGCTCAGGTCATGATCCCAGAGTCCTGGGATCGAGCCCTGCATCGGGCTCCCTGTTCCGCGGGAATCCTGCTTCTCCCTCTCCCACTCCCACTGCTTGTGTTCCCTCTCTCGCTGTGTCTCTGTCAAATAAATAAACAAAATCTTTAAAAAAAAAAAAAATCAATCCTTTAACTAGCCCTCTACTACATTCAAATCCCAACAATTCCATTTAGAGAGAACTATTTTTCACAAACACGAATAATACATGGTAAGGCATGCCTGTACTTTGGTAATAGGACATAATTGAACCCAAGACAATAATTTCTTGAAGTTTGCTTCTCCCTAGCCAAAGCAAAGCCAAAGGCAGAGCTTATCTTCCCAATAAGCAAAACTTCCACTTCTACCTGAATTAAAAAGATTGATCATTGTGGCTCTCCCTTTGTCCTGGCTGTGGTGACAGAGCCCACAGGGTCCATCAAATAGCTCAGATGTTATGAGGCCCTAGGGTGATGTTGTAAAGGGCTTGTGCTTGGATCAAGAGTCCTACCCGGGCTCAGGTAGACTGTGGCTTGTCTCTCTCATGGGCAAGATGGGGACTCCCTGACTGATATGAAATCAGAATTAAGTGAGATAACACACATAAAATGGTTTGCACAATGCCTGGCACTGGCAAGGGGCCTCACAAAGATTATTTGTTATTTTTATGATTCAGCAAAATTGGTTCGGAAACACGTCACAACCAGAATGGCAAGGGAGTCATGGCTGAGAATCAGTGACTACAAAGGCCCCGCACTATATTTATAGAAACGTGCCCCTGTGCAAATCTCCTGTTTAGAACACAGGGATAATAATTTCTGTTCTCCTGCTGAAGTTGTACCACCCACTGTTAGGATTCACTGAAGAAACTCCTGAGAAAGATGAAGCAAATATGAAGCAAGAGCCCTAGGCAGCTGAGCCTCACGGTTCTGAAATCAGAACCTGAAGCCAGCCTGCACAAGAGCAGCTCCCCTGCTGTGCTCGGAGGTCCTCCCTGCACCCCGACAGGCCCAGCCTCCCACATGGCCTGTTGGCAGGAAACTTCTCTCCGTGATCAGAGTAGAGGGCTGCCCTCTGACCAACCCACTGGACGGTCTCGGCACAGTGGCACGTTCCAGTGGCCAGGCAGCTCGCCTGCTCCCACTTATTCACATGGCGTATCCAAGAGACTTTCTGGCAGACAAATGGGAGACCTGAAGACTAATTAATGATGACACCAGAGACCGGCGGTGCACAAAGCAGAGAGGTCACTGGCAAATCCACAAATGTCGTTTATTGTCCAACCGGAGGGCATGTATTCAATGTTGCTAGACCACCAAGGTTGCCTTGGACTCAGGCTGTGCCCAGAGTTCCACTGTTTAAAGGCAAAGTCAGCCAAATTCACTTTCTCGTTATCTATTACATTTTTGGCAGAATTAAAAATATATTTATACCTGAAGTTAGCGACTAAATGCTCATCGTGAGAGATAGATTAAATATGGAAAACCAAAACATAATGGAATAATAGATACTAGATTTGAGAGAGTTATTTTAACTCATTGAAAAGTTAAGTGCTTGTGAAGCATTTTAGTGAAAGATAGGGCCTTGAGTGTTTTAAGATTTCAGGTATTAGACTGTTAAGGCCATAGGTGGCTGTCTGCCTTTTTGTTTTTGACACCTAAGAACGAGGAATAAAGTTCGCTGGAGCCCCTTAAAAAGCATGGGTAGGTTACAAGGATAAAGAGGCAAGGCCCAGATATAATTAATCAAAACCTAAGACGTATTGAATTGCTCAAAAGTACGTGGGCAGTTTTTAGAACATAGAGCATGTTTCTCTCTCTGAGTTGAAGGACCCGTGGGCTTAGTGGAGTCAGAATACATTTTTAGAGGAAAGGAGAGATTTATCTGGACTCTGCTTTTTCAGCCTGGAGTTCTCTCTTCTCTGCTTACCTAATTCCTGCCTCGCGCCCTCTGTGGTTCTGGGCCAGTTCCCACCTCTCCCTCAGTTTTACGAGATGCCCGTCCTTTTCCAAAAGCCCCAAGCTTCAAGGCCCATGATAGAGGACTGTTGTAGCAACATACAGAACTGCGACTAGAGCAAATTTTTACGTTTATCACTGGGGTTTACGTGAGAGATACTAATCAGAATCAGATACGAAGGGCACAGAATGCTGGGTTGAGGAGTTTATCCTCAAGGAATTCACTCAACAAATACATCAATTTGCCAAATATTCTCGTCTGTGCCAATTATGCACCACAACTTGTACTTGATACTGAGGACATATCAGTAGACAAAAAACAGACTAAAATCTCTGCCCTCAGACATCATAGTGAACAGGTCAGCAACAACAGTTTGTTAATGGGTAGGACACATAGCAATTTCTGTTTCTAGTAATTTGCACTGCATGCAAACAATGTGAATCATTACCTTCCATATTAACATACTGTACTGCAGGGTCTCTTTTTAGTAAAACCAGGACAGTATAGTGTCCTTCCTCGTGCTTTCCATGTGAAACACACACGTGTACACACACACACACAGATACAAACACAAACACACACACAGAACTCTTAGTTTTCTACCCCAAAACACACTTTTATCAAAAGAAACTAAAGACACAATTCAGAAATCAAAAGCACAATATTAGCACAATAAACCTACACAGTTCTTTTTCATGGTGTTGGCCTTGGACTGAATGGCTAGGGAGTTGTATTAAATTCAATGCATTAAAATAGTAAAATAAAAACAGCTTTTGCCCAGCTACAATTCAGGGATTTCTATGGAAGGGGAAATTTATATAGAAAGCTAATAAAATATTAAGAATTTTTAAACTTTGGTTAGTAAAGGGAGGCACAAAAGAGAGTGTTCTATTTTGTGGTTATTTTCCATACATTTTTTTTTTTTAAGGCTACAGGAAGGAAGACTTCATGTTGATTTAAGTCAAACACAAATGATAAAAGATTGAAATTTAAAAAATGCATATTTCAAGTTCCTGAGCTCTGATGCTAAATGGGGAGGGGGGGACATTTTAAGGCTTAGCATGGTGAGTGGTGAGTGGTATCAGAGGAAAACCCTGGGGTGGGGGAAATAGAAAATCTACTCTAGAAGAGACCTACATAGATTATATT